ATCATAAGATAGTATCCAGAAGTAAATTTCGAAAAAAAAAAATCCTGTTTTTCCGTATTTTTCTTATAAATGGACTTAGTTTTTCTGCCAGGAAACATTACATTCACTCTGTGGTTAAAGTTTTAAAAATTTTAATAACTTTCTTAAACAATCCTGGATTTGTACCAAACATGGACAGAAGTTTGTTTATGATCAAAAGCTAGTATCTAGAAGGAATTTTTTATTAAAATTTTGTACTTGTTTATCCATATTTTACTTATAAATGGACTTAGTTTTTCTTCCAGTTAACATTACATACAGTCTGCAGTTAAATTTTTTAAAACTTTTATTAGATTCATAAACTATCCTGGATTTTTTACCAAACTTGGACAGAAGCTTCTTACAATAAAAAAATTGTATCGAGAGGAATATTTTTATTAAATCTTTTCCTCATCTCATTTTTGTTGAGCCTGCGATTAACAGCAAAAGTAGGCGAGACACTGGGTTCCGCGGAACCCTTACGAATTTTTATTGACTCCACCCACATTGTCATATTTTGAAAATGACCCATATATACCATTAATCAGCAGATGTAGATCCAGGATTTTGAAAAAAGGGAGACTGGGGCCTCCATAGAAGGCAATGTTTGGAGTGGAACAGGTGAAAAGTCTGCACCATGATGAAGCTCCTAAAGGGGGGCTGGGCTGATCAGATTGGGGAAGATCCTCATAAATAGGTACAATCCCCAAAATCGAGTATCAATTTACAACTGATAAAAAATCAAATTTTATTTCACGTCATAAATTTTGGCTGTCATCATGGCGCAAACATTCATATAAATGGCAACATTTTTCCCTTCTTTAAATAAAAGACCATAGTTCAAATGAGAACTGAATACCAAGATAATACACCTTATCGCTATTAATGTCCGCCATTACTGGACATCACAAAAGTTCCCGTAAAATTTTGAAGTCATAATAGAAAATATCTGACGCCACAATGGAAAAGTGATTGTTGTATGACGTCAAAAGTTCAAGCGGGACAGATTCTCAGGTCAAGCGGGAATAGCGATAAGATGTATGGCCTCCAAAAGAGGCTTTTGAATTTTTTAAATGTTTTATCTAGTCCAAATAATTATGACGTCTTGAAAGGCTATTTTAATTTTTTTCTGTGACGCCTGTAGGAAGGCGTAACAGAAAAAAAAAATTAAAAAAGCCTTTTAAGACCTCATTATTTGGACCAATGTTTTATCCAGGGCAGATGACATTTCAGTCGTGGTGTCTGGGCAAAATTGTGTCGTTTACCTGACTGTTTGCGCAATGACAGCAAATATCTTGAAATCCAAAATTTGTATTAAAAGCCAGTGTTGGTATCAACAACATATTCACACAGATACAGAGAGGCGAACTGACCTAGGGCGAACAGACCAGATACCATTTGAAATTATGAGTGGGTTGTTATTTTTTTACACCTTGTAAGGTGCTATCTTTTCTCAAAAATACTGATTTGTTTACCTACCCAATCGAGTTTTCTTTGTTTTCCATTTTGTTCCCTAAGTATCGAGTAATATAAGCAAAATTGTTATTGTACGATCAGGATTTACTACACGTGCATTATTTTAGAGAAAAAGACCGAGGTATACAAGGGAAATAATTCGATAATCTATTTGTCGTTCGAGATGCGTTTGAGCTTTACCATTCTCTTAACCTAAGATATGGATTTTTATCTCTCCATCCTTTATAGGAATATTATATTGCATCATGTAATCAAAGAACAAACATATTACCATTGATTTCATCATCAATCAAAAAATATTGAAACTATAGTTTAAAAAAAATATTATCCAAAAAGGGGGGAAGATATAGCAAAAAGAATGAAAATTTACTGACAAAAGGGCCCGCCACGGTGGGGGTTCACTGATAATCCTATACGATTCCCAAAGATTTACAAGTGGCGTATCTTGACCTCTAATATTACAGAGGCCGGGGGTATGGTGGGCATATACCCCAAGAAGCTATCGAGGTTTTGCAATTTCAACAAAATAATCTATTAAAGATAATAGCGCCTGTTTTATTCTATTTCATCATATTTATGTCAATCTCAAAGGCGGATCCGGGGGGGCCAGCCCCCCCTTTTGTGGGAAAAATTTGGTTGATTATGTAGGGAATCACTGAAGCATGACTGGAGCGCCCCCCCCCTTTAGGGTCAGTCAGCGGGCCCCCCTTATGAAAAGTTCTGGATCCGCCACTGAATCTGTAAATCTGTATGATAAATTCTGCCAGTCAAGGCACACCTCCAAGTCTAGCTGGAGTGATATCCACCACCACCACTCCATTAATCAATACGACTGATATATATAAATATCACACAAATAAAAGTTCCATATCCACCAGAGTATTATATACACAAACTGTCAGTTTATAATATACGCAATAGGTTAATTTTAAAAATCTAAAATTATCTAAATAAGAATTGATAATTTGGACTGTCTTATGCTGAGTCACTTACATAACACTTTAATTAACTTATAGTCCCAAACTTTCCTTCTCTTTTTCGGTTGTTTACTGTCCAAACCGAGAAGTCTATATCTTGTTGTATGGAGTAGGTGGATCATTTTCCTGCATTGCGGTTCAAGAATTTTCGATATATTATCCAAAATTTGATCGTTGTTATTATTGCAGTAGTTGTAAGGATCACAAATCAATCTTAATTAGTAGTTCTATGTTATTGACACTATTGCTCTCAGAGAAAATCTACTAGCCGTTATCATTATTCTTTCTAATATGGGGTTTCTTACAGCATCTAAAGTTACACATGTAAGCAGGAATTGAGATAATGTTTCTTCTCCATTTTTGCATAGTTGACATGCTGGGTCCACTACATTAGAATTATATTTGGCTCTTTGGAATTGTAGGAGGTATCCTCCTGTAGCGATTTTCACTCGCGGTGGCAATTTTGTACTAGTTTAGCGTCAGAAGTGGATATACTGACCACTGCCACTTACAGAAAATGTCACAAATTCTGAACAGTTAAACCAGGCATACAATGAATTTGAAGATACATTCACATATATTCTAAACAAACATACACCGATCAAAACAAGACAACCAAGAAAACAACCATTACCGTGCATGAATAGTGAACTTAGAAAAGCTGTATATCGCAAACACATGCTGTACACACAATTTACAAAGCATAAAGATTCAAAAACATGGGGAAAATATAGAAAACAGCGAAACCTTGTTACAAAACTTAAAAAAGTATCCATGAAAAATTATTTTTTAGAACGTTGTTCAGGTGGGACAAAAACAGTAACTTTTGGACAACTATAAACGGCTTTATAGTTGTCCAAAAATTACTGTTTTTTGCCCCACCTGAACAACGTTCTAAAAAATAATTCTCAAAAAAAAAGTCACTCAGGGGAACAAAAAATTGTTTTATGTGAAAACAGCAAAATCATAAACAACACCAAAGTTGTTTCAGAACACTTTAACACATTTTTTCCGACAGTTGCAGACAAGATTGGTAGTGACGTGATATACGACCCACCAACTCATGCCAGTATCTTGCAAATAAAAGATCAAAACTGCACTAACACAAAATTTAATTTTCAGAAAACAACAACAGAAAAAGTAGCAAAAATTATTAACAAAATTAACATTAAAAAAGCTACAGGAGTAAAGATGGCATACCAGCAAAAGTAGTGAAACATTGTAAACCGATAATTGTGCCACAGTTAACAACACTTATAAATCTATCTGTAGAAACTGGAGTATTTCCTGATAGACTCAAGCAGGCTCAAGTAACACCACTGCACAAGAAAAACAACCAGCTTGACAAAGCCAATTATAGGCCTGTCAGCGTTCTACCAATTTTTTCTAAAATTTATGAAAAGGTTTTTGAAATTCAACTTGGTGATTTTTTTGAAATTATTTTTCTTCCCTATCTGTGTGCTTTTAGACGTGGCCATAGGTGTCAGACCACACTGTTACGACTCCGTGCTAGAAGATTGGCGTGCAGCATTAGATAAAAACCAGTATATAGCTGCTGTTTTAATGGACCTTTCAAAGGCTTTTGATTGCCTACCACATGAAATCCTGCTTGATAAATTATCAGCATATGGTGTCTCTGTTCATTCTATTTCACTACTTAAATCTTATCTGACAAACAGGAAACAACAAATTAAAATAAATAGTATTCTTAGCAGTTGGGCTGACATTCATAAGGGGGTTCCCCAGGGTTCTATCCTGGGCCCCCTACTATTCAATGTTTTTATCAATGATATATTCTTATTTATAAAAAATGGAACTCTGTATTATTATGCAGATGACAATACTTTATCATACTGTAGTCCTGATTATGATGTTTTGATTTCTACTTTGGAATCTGAATCACTCAAACTTATTGAGTGGTTCAAAATAAATAAAATGCAGGCAAACTCCGACAAATTTTAGGTCTTAGCAGTTGGGAAAAAGACATATAACAAAAATCCATCTATACGTATCCAAAGTGCTGATCTTTCGTGTGAGTCAACTGTCAAATTACTTGGCATTGACATAGATTATCAGCTAAATTTTGATATTCATATTGGTAAAATATGCAGGAAGGCATCTCAGCAACTAAATACTTTGAAACGTTTGGGAGCTTATCTGAACAAGCTAAGTAAGCTTACTATTTTCTATACATTTATTTTGTCAAACTTCAATTTCTGCCCTTTGGCATGGCATTTTTGTACCGAGAAAAATTCAAAAAAATTAGAAAAAGTGCAAGAAAGAGCACTAAGGTTTGTGTACGAAGACCATTCAAGCTCATATCAACAGTTGCTTGAAAAGGCTAAGATGCCTTCACTGCATATTAAAAGACAAAGTTCAATGGCAATTGGAACTTTTAATATAGTCAATAAATTAGCACCTGTCTGTTTGCATGATTTATTAAATGTAAAAGATTGTAAATATTCTTTCCGATATAGAAATATACTGGATATACCACATGTAAAAACTACACAGTTTGGTAAGAACAGTTTTAAATTTGCAGCTGCTGCTCTGTGGAACAGCCTACCTGACCATTTCAGGAATGAAAACAGTTTTTCTCAATTTAAGAGCCTTATACAGTCTTGGAATGGTTCAAAATGTTGTTGTTCTGCTTGTAGATAAGCTTTTGTCATATTTTAGAAGTTGCTCTAACATGTTATTATGCCTTAAATTTCTGCATGTGTGCTATAATATTTTATTTGTGCTTAATTTTAGTTGTGCTTAAATTTTAGTTGTGCTTCAGCTTTGGCTTTAGATATGTATTTAATAGTGCTTTGCATGTATTTCAATATGACTGTGCTGTTATATACCCTGTCTGCATGTTGTGTGTTTTAATGTTGTGTTTGTGTTACCTTATATTCGGTAAAAAGCTCTTAAGAGCTTATGTTTGTATTGTTATATGTGAACCGAATCAAAATAAAACTTTCGTATTCGTATTCGGATGACAATGACCAAGTCTGAATATTGGAGATAAGTATTGTAAGCTATTTAAATGTTCTTTCTCATCCAAGATCGTTCTATGCCAGTATGTTTTAATTTTGTTGACCATGCTTTTTTCCATGTTTCTTTAGTTGTTACAGTATCCAAAAATTCTACAGGATCTGTGAGTTGATATTTAAAACAAATTTTCTTTGCATCTATAAACCAGCTGTTGCTTTTGCACGATTTAATTTTTAATTGATGATTGGCGATTTTCCATTCAACGGTTGATTTGTCAGAACATAGAATATTTCCAAGTAATGTTATAATTTTTATATCAATTTCAGCATTTATGGGTAGTAATCCAGATAATAAATATATAGCTGGGTCTGCAGTTGATATTGGTAAAGATAAGATTTGTATAATCATTTTCTTGTAGAAAGATTGTAATATTTTAAAAGATTTGCTGTTGGTCATTATAACATTCAGTCCATATAGTAGGATGGGCATAACATAGGTTCTGAAAGTGGATATAGATGTAGATGGGTCTATTCCATTTTCTCCATGCAAACCACTTGCCTTTAAACTGTATAAAAAGTAAAATCACAAAAATACTGAACTCCGAGGAAAATTCAAAAAGGAAATCCCCATTCAAATGGCAAAATAAAAAAAACAAACACATCAAACGAATGGATAACAACTGTCATATTCCTGACTTGGTACAGGCATTTTCTTGTGTAGAAAATGGTGGATTGAACCTGGTTTTTTAGCTAGCTAAACCTCTCACTTGTATGACAGTCGCATCAAATTCCATTATATTGACAACGACGCGTGAACAAAACAAACAGACACAATAGGTAAAAATGTCAAAAATATACATATTTCGTTTAATAGATCATTTACATAAACTTTGTAAAGATCGGCACTAAGTGTACCACCTTGTCGAACACCTTGTTCAATATTGAATGCATCTCCCCCCGAGATGTTTCCAGGTTTGTTTTCAAAGATAAAGCTCTTCTTGCCTTGAAAGTTCTTAATATTTTCCTCCGCTGTTACTAGTTGTGTGTTACAGTTTGATCTTTGTATTCCAATATGTGTGGTTTTATCAACCGTAGGCATTTCCCTATCATCCATAAGGAGTGTCATATCATTGTGGGTAATGGTGTTGGTTTGTATAGGCAGTACAACGCTTTTAGTAGGTTGTATAATATATGACTCTCTTTTGCTGTAGTCGTTAGCTATGTTGACTCGTATTTGCGCTTCAAACTGAGAGTTACTTGTTATGGTAAGATAGGCGCACTACAGTTGATCGTTCCAATATGTCCTCCAAAACCGGTGTTACATATTTCGTTTAATAGATCATTTACATAAACTTTGTAAAGATCGGCACTAAGTGTACCACCTTGTCGAACACCTTGTTCAATATTGAATGCATTGGATTGTTCACCGTTCCATTTGACACTGGATCTTGCATTTTTATATAGATCATCAATCATGAGTATTTCTTGCGGTGTGAGTTCCATATGAAATAATTTACGTATAAGGCTTGAGTGTTTTACTACGTCAAAGGCTGCCTTAGCATCTAGCATGACAAATAAATTCTCTTTTCAGATCTTTGTTCTCTCGTTGAAATTCCTCCATAATTAATGAGCAATATAAAGGAGATGCGTTTTTGGTAAAGCCTCGCTGGAGTGGATTTTGTAGACAGATAACTTTGGGATTGATGCGAAATTAAAGTACAGTTTCTATGATTTTTGATAGAGTTGGAGTTATTGTGATGCCTCTATAATTTTTTGTGTCATTCTTGTTGCCTTTGTTTTTGAAGACTGGTGTTAATATTCCAAATTTGATAATATCAGGTATAAAGCAGAATTCAAAGGAGCTGTTTAGTAGAGTCAAGTATTTCTCCACCATGAATTAAATTTTCAGCAGTGACTCCATATGTATCTGGGGATTTGTTTCGTTTAAGGCTTTTAATGGCATCCTTGACCTCTTGCTTCTTCACTGGAATGTGCTTGAAGTCATGTTTACATATATCTATAATAGTAGCAAATTCGTTGTCTACCTGTTCAATATATGCTTGGTCGAATTGACTATTATCACTTTGTTCAGCAAGATTTTCAAAGTGTTCTCTAAAGCCCTCCAAGATTCCCCCTTCAGTGTTGTATTTTTGTCCGTTTACATTTAGCTCATCAATATGCATACTAGATCTCCCTCTTTGACGTCGGATAAGTTTAAAAAAATAAATCGGAGTTGTTACTTTTGGCATTAATCAGTTCAGTTTTCATTTCTAGTTGTTGTTTTGCTAGCGTTAACCTGCAATCTTTTCTTAGGTTACAAGTTGTTACTTTTTTCTTCTGTAACCACTGATTATTGGGATCATTAGGTCGGTTGTTCTGTTTCCAATCATAGTATGCATTTTTCTTGTCAGTTATAGCTTTAAGAATTTCTGGTGTCTCATTACTTGTAGTTTTGGTTTCTTCTTCCTTATTCGTCTGGTTGGTCCTGAAGTTGATGCCGCCTTGGATAATAGCTGATTTAAGTCTATATATGCAAGTTCAATATCCTGTATAGATTGGAGGTTTTTGTTCAATTCTAATATGCCACTTTCTATTGTTGAATTATATTTCTCAATATCTACTTTGTCCCAGTTGATTTTCGGAGTCGGACATACCCTTTTGTTAGGTTTATTATGTATAAAATAGTCATATTTAATTCTTGCTACAATCATAGGGTAGTGGTCTGAGATGTTTCCAGGTATGTTTTCAAGCTTGATGATTTTAACAATACTCTTGCTGAAGTTTTCGCTATATAAGAAGAAGTCAATGCAAGTCGAGTCGCAACCATTTGGGTGTATAAAGGTCGGATCAAGGCCTTTAGTTAAAAGATTATGTTCTTTCATAAATTCCTGAAGATGTTTTGATCTTTTACTATTAGAAAATTGGTTTGCATTTTCATTTAGATTTCCTCCAAGTAGTATGATGTGAGTATCTTTAAATTTTGTGTATATTTCGTGTAGTAGATCTATACACTCCTGAAATTCTTCTATACTGTCTGATGACCCCTTACACGGCAGATATACTGAAATGATTAGAAGTGGTTCTGCCCCTCCTGAATTCAATGCATTGTATACGCTCGTTCCCATCTGGAAGTTGTGTGATATAACTATCAAGTTGTTTTTTTCCACATGATTGCGACACCTCCCTGACCTCTAGGCATATGTGTTGGATCTCTTGAGTCGACAGCTTTACCAATTCCAATATATTCTTGGTTCAATTCATTAAGCATATCCATATGACAGCTAAATAGCCATGTTTCCTGTAGCAAACATATCCGCAATTTTTTTTTACATCATTAAATAATAGTCCACTAATATTTACATTTTTACAGTTAAAAGATAAAACATTCAGGCACTGTCTACTATTTACATCTGTATTTTCATCTTCGCTACTTTTTATCAGAATGGTGGCTGTCTGAGGCTTTTTTGGTATAAAAAATGTTCTAAATTTGTTTTCTGATTTTTGCTTTGATCTCTGTAAAAAATCGGTTGTCCCTCGGTAAGTGGAGCGTTGTACTTGTTCAATCCTGTAAAGCCATACTGTGGAGTTTCTGAATGACGGGCTGTTTGTATATTATGATCATGTGTGAAGTTCTGAGTTGTTTTGAGTTTGTGCTTGTTGATTCTTTCGTTCTGTTGTTGTGAATGGTTCCTTCCTTTATCAATATTTCCTGTTTCTTGTTCTAATTGTACTGTTATGAGGTTGCTATTATTACTATATTCTTGATATTCATTACAATCAGGATAGTAGTGATGGTTGTATGACCAGTTATCATGTTGATAATAGGGGTAATGGTAATTCTGCTGCAGATTACTATACTAAATGTCTTGTTGACTAGGAGTAGGAATAGAGGGATGGTCATAGTATCCATAGTTGTATGTTTCAGCAGGAGTATTGTTTACATTTTCTTCTAGTCTTATTAGATGGTCAATATGACTTACACTATGTAATGCTAAAGAATTATTAGTTCATCACTACTGGGCCATTATATGATAGTATACTATTCCCGGATCGCTGGTAGAGGGGCGGAACTTGAGGACCTATATCGGGACCCGGGAATTGACGATTAATTTTAAGGGATCCAGGAAAGAATACTTCAAGTCGGGATGACACCTCCTCCACGGGGGCTCTCTTCCTATATGAAGGTATATACATATGTGCCGCTGGATTGGGTCCCTTTTTTGATACGTCAAATATATCAATGGGGTGCAATTTTACCGAGGAAATATACCAATAGGTAGTAATTGACCAATTGTGATATATCAATGGGTCATAATTTTTCAGTTTGTTGTGCAACGATCTTCACTGAATTTCCCTAACTCTTTGTCATTGTTTGAAAAAGTTCAATATTTCATATAAATTAAGGTATATTATATAATTAAAAAGTGTTTTTAATATATAATAAGATTTTATATGCATATAGGTACTATTTGAGCTGATAAATATATGAATAGGTTATGATTTCGCTGTGAAATATATGTATAGGTAGGGATTTCACAATTATTCAATATATGAAT